TGCTGTCCCTGCTGTCCCTGCTGTCCCTGCTGTCCCTGCTGTCCCAGCTGGGCACACGGCAGTGTCCCTGCTGTCCCTGCTGTCCCTGCTGGGCACACGGCAGTGTCCCTGCTGTCCCTGCTGTCCCTGCTGGGCTGTCCCTGCTGTCCCAGCTGGGCACACGGCAGTGTCCCTGCTGTCCCTGCTGTCCCTGCTGGGCACACGGCAGTGTCCCTGCTGTCCCTGCTGGGCACACGGCAGTGTCCCTGCTGTCCCTGCTGTCCCTGCTGTCCCAGCTGGGCACACGGCAGTTTCCCTGCTGTCCCTGCTGTCCCTGCTGTCCCTGCTGTCCCTGCTGTCCCTGCTGGGCACACGGCAGTGTCCTTGCCATCCGCAGGGGTGGCATCAGCTCTGTGCTCCCTCCGTGTCTGCCCAGGAACGGGATTTACCCCCTGATGAACTTCGCGGTCTCCCGGCCCCACGCCCTGCCCCGCGCCCTGTCCCAGCCCCCCGAGGACCCCCAGAAAGCCAAGACCCCCACGCCAGAGCCCTTTGATGTGGAGACCAGGAAGGTGAGGGCAGCCCCGGTGGGCACGGCGCCCGTCCCGGCTGCAGGGACCGCTCTCACAGGGGACACGGCCCAGGGGGGCTGGGAGAGGGGCCTGGGGTTCCTGCAGGAATTCCAGAGCATTGCCAGGAGGGCCCAGAGGCAGAGGGGCCTGGGGTTCCTGCAGGAATTCCAGAGCATTGCCAGGAGGGCCCAGAGGCAGAGGGGCCTGGGGTTCCTGCAGGAATTCCAGAGCGCTGCCCGGGAGGGCCCAGAGGCAGAGGGCCTGGGGTTCCTGCAGGAATTCCAGAGCGCTGCCTGGGAGGGCCCAGAGGCAGAGGGGCCGAGTCCAGGCTGATCCCAGCTGGGCTTTTCCAGGTGGTGCAGATGCAGTGCAACATGGAGCTGAACGAGGACAAGAGCCAGTGGCACGTGAGTGCCTGGATCCTGCCCTGCCCCCCTGGCCATCCCGCTGGGATGGGGCTGGAATGGGAAATGGGACTGGGGATTGGGCTAGGAATGGGACTGGGAAATCTGCCAGCGGCACGTGAGTGCCTGGATCCTGCCCTGCCCCCTGGCCATCCTGCTAGGAATGCGGCTGGGATGGGAAATGGGACTGGGGATTGGGCTAGGAATGGGACTGGGAAATCTGCCAGCGGCACGTGAGTGCCTGGATCCTGCCCTGCCCCCTGGCCATCCTGCTGGGAATGCGGCTGGGATGGGAAATGGGAAATGGGACTGGAAATGGGGCTGGGAATGGGAAATGGGAAATGGGTCTGGGAATGGGGCTGGGAATGGGACTGGGAATTGGGCTAGGAATGGGACTGGGAAATCTGCCAGTGGCATGTGAGTGCCTGGATCCTGCCCTGCCCCCTGGCCATCCCGCTGGGAATGGGGCTGGGATGGGAAATGGGAAGGGGAAGGGAAGTGAGGCTGGGAGAAATGGGTCTGGGAAATGGGAAATGGGGCTAGGAATGGGGCTGGGAATGGGACTGGGAAATCTGCCAGCGGCACGTGAGTGCCTGGATCCTGCCCTGCTCCCTGGCCATCCCGCTGGGAATGGGGCTGAGATGGGGCTGGGAATGGGGCTGGGAATGGGAAATGAGGCTGGGAATGGGAAATGGGGCTGGGAATGGGGAATGGGAATGGGAAATGGGGCTGGGAATGGGGCTGGGAAATCTGCCAGTGGCACGTGAGTGCCTGGATCCTGCCCTGCCCCCTGGCCATCCCGCTGGGAATGGGGCTGGGATGGGAAATGGGAATGGGAAATGGGAAATGGGACTGGGAATGGGGCTGGGAATGGGAAATGGGGCTAGGAATGGGAAATGGGGCTGGGAATGGGAAATGGAACTGGGAATGGGGCTGGGATGGGGCTGGAATGGGAAATGGGAATGGGAAGTGGGAAATGAGACTGGGAATGGGGCTGGGAATGGGAAATGGGAAATGGGACTGGGAATTGGGCTAGGAATGGGAAATGGGAATGGGAAGTGGGGCTGGGAATGGGAAATGGGGCTGGGAATGGGACTGGGAATGGGAAATGGGAAATGGGTCTGGGAAATGGGAAATGGGGCTAGGAATGGGGCTGGGAATGGGGCTGGGAAATCTGCCAGTGGCACATGAGTGCCTGGATCCTCCCCTGCTCCCTGGCCATCCCGCTGGGAATGGGGCTGGAAGGGGAAATGGGAATGGGAAATGGGAAATGAGACTGAGAATGGGGCTGGGAATGGGACTGGGAATGGGAAATGGGAAATGGGACTGGGAATGGGAAATGGGACTGGGAATGGGGCTGGGACTGGGAAATGGGAATGGGAAATGGGACTGGAAAATGGGATTGGGACTGGGAAATGGGGCTGGGAAATGGGACGGGGAATAGGAAATGGGATTGGGACTGGGAAATGGGGCTGGGAAATTGGACTGGGAAACCTGCCAGTGGCACGTGAGTGCCTGGATCCTGCACTCTTCCCTGCCCATCCCACTGGGAATGGGGCTGGAAATGGCACTGGGAATGGGAAATGGGACTGGAATGGAAATGGCACTGGGAAATGGGACTGGGAAATCAGAGCAGGAAATCTGTCAGGAAAATGGGAAAGGGAAATCTGCCTGGGATATCGGACTGGGAAGAGGTGCTGGGAAAGGCCTCAGCCAGTTTCCGTGGTACCCAGAGAACTCACTGCTGTCCTGTGCAGTGAAAGAATTCCCAAAGGAGCCAGACCTGCAGTGTCTGGATGTCTGTGTCCCTGGTGTTTGCTGACACCTTTGGACTCTGGTTTTTCTAGCCCAGTACTTGCAGTTCCTGGAGCTGGAATTGCTCCGGGGCACCAGCACTGCCCAGAGCTCCAATTCCTGCAGTGCCCAGAGCACCCAGTTCCAGCAGTGCCCAGTGCTCCCAGTTCCCCCAGAGCTCCCAGTTCCCCCAGAGCTCCCAGTTCCAGTTCTCCCAAAGCTCACAGTTCTTCCTGAGCTCCCAATTCCTGCCCAGCCCTCCCAGTTCCCCCAGAGCTCCCAGTTCCCCCAGAGCTCCCAGTGCTCCCAGTTCTCCCAGTTCCAGTTCCCCCCACAGCTCCCAGTTCCCCCCAGAGCTCCCAGTTCCAGCAGTGCCCAGTGCTCCCAGTTCCCCCAGAGCTCCCAGTTCCAGTTCCCCCCAGCCCTCCCAGTTCCCCCAGAGCTCCCAGTTCCCCCAGAGCTCCCAGTTCCCCCAGAGCTCCCAGTTCCAGTTCCCCCCAGTTCTCCCAGTTCCCCCAGCCCTCCCAGTTCCCCCAGTTCCCCCAGTCCCTGCGGGGCTGCCATCAGCCTCTCTCGTGTCTCTGCAGCTCACGCTCCTGCTGATCCTGGAGGACAAGCTGCACCGCCAGCTCAGCTACGACCTGCTGCCCAGTACGTCCTGCAGGAGGGCATCCCGGGGCCCTGCTGGGCATGGAGAGTGCCAGCCTCCCTGCCAGCCTCCCTGCCAGCCTCCCTGCCAGCTGCCCTGCCAGCCTCCCTGCCAGCCTCCCTGCCTTTCCCTTTCCTTCCTTTTCCCATTCCTTTCCTCTCTTCCTCCCCTTCCTTTTACCATTCCTTTCCACTCTTTCTCCTTTTCCTTCTTCCTTCCCTTCCCTTCCCTTCCCGTCCCTTTTCCCTTTTCCCTTTTCCCTTTTCCCCTTTCCTGGAACTTTCCTTTCCCCTTTCCTTTCCTGGCACTTTCCCCAGAAAGCTGGGAATGGTTCCTGGGAGCTGTCCTGCTGAGCCACTCGGAGCCTTTGAGCTTTCCACGTGGCACCTTGTCCAGAGGGGGTTTTGGGGAACCTTGCTCCCCTCCCTGCCCCATTCCCAGCTCTCCCAGGCACGGCAGCTCCCCGAGCTCAATCCATGCTCATGTTCCCCTGCTCCTTGCCTCTGCAGCTGACAACTCCAAGGATCTGGCCACGGAGCTGGTGCACTATGGATTCATCCACGAGGTGAGTCCCTGCTGTCCCCGGATCCCCCCAGGGGCAGGGCTGGGGTTTCTGCTCCCTGCAGGAGCTGCTCCAAGGGGAACTGCCCGCTCTGGCACGCGCTGATCACTGCAGCTTAAATAATTCTGAGCGGGAGAGCCAGGGAAGGAGGCTGCTTCCTTACCTAGGGAACCACAGAACCAGGCATTTGGGAAAACAAAGATGAACAAGTCCAGCCTGGGACAAAGGTGCCAGGTCACCCTGATGGCACCCCCAGGTGCCACATCCACGTGTTCATGGAACTCTTCCAGGGCTGGGGACTCCATCCCTGCCCGGGGCAGCCGTGCCAGGGCTAGGCAGCCCTTTCCAGGAGGGATTTCCACAACATCCCACCCTGAGCTCCCCAGCCCAGCCCGAGGCCATTCCCTCTCCTCCTGTCCCTGTTCCCTGGAGCACAGCCCGACCCCCCGGCTGTCCCCTCCTGGCAGGAGCTGTGCAGAGCCACAAGGGGAAGGGAAGGGAAGGGAAGGGAAGGGAAGGGAAGGGAAGGGAAGGGAAGGGAAGGGAAGGGAAGGGAAGGGAAGGGAAGGGAAGGGAAGGGAAGGGAAGGGAAGGGAAGGGAAGGGAAGGGAAGGGAAGGGAATAAAAGCGGGAAAGGAAAGGAAAGGAATGGTAATAAAAGCGGGAAAGGAAAGGAATAGAACCATAAAAAAAGCTGGTGACTCTCAGGGAGCCCGACACAGCTGGCCCATGGATTGTCATTAGGTAGAACCATCCCCTGCAGCAATCCCAGGTGCACCTGTTGGTGAACCACGTCCAGAGCACATTGCACAGCCATCGGATGTTAATCGTTTACATTTACATTTCTTTTCCGAGGCTCCTCAGCTCAGTAAACCCTAGCGAGGGCGTTTTCCCCAGAGCTGGTGGGGCTGGGGGTGTCGGGGCAGCCCAGCGAGGGCCCTGCCGCCGTTTCTGCTTGCAGGACGACTGCGAGAAGCTGGCCGCCTTCCTGGAGAGCGCCTTCCACAAGCACCGCTCCCAAGCCCTGTGAGCCCCTGATGCCGAGGGGCTCCCGACCCAGCCGGCCCAGCAGGACCGTCCCGATCCGTGCTCCGGGCGCGGAGGACTCGGCAAAGCCCGGGGATTCCGGGCGCCGGGGCCCGCTCCCGAGGGGAGGCGTGGGGAGCGGGCGGCACCCCCGGCAGCCCCTTCCCCGGGGGGGGTTTGGGAGCTGCTGCAGGAGCCCCCCGGCCGGCTCCGTTTCCCTCTGGGAATGGCTGTTCTCTCCCTCTCGGCCGCCGGGTCCTTGCTGAGCGGAGGAGCAGGCTCCGTGGAGCTTCCCACCGGCCACGTCCCGCTCTCCACCCCCGGCTTCTCCGGGTTTAAGGTCTCCAGCGCGCTGCCTGTGCTCAGAACCCTCACCAGGAGCTGGGACTGTGGGAGCTGGACGTGGCTTCAGAAGGAATTCCTCACCCGCCACCGGGATCCGCGCTCGTGGATCGGCAGGAATCTCATTGATGCTCCACAGAATCCTGGTCGTGCCCCAGTTCCCCCTGCAGCCTTCCAAAATCTCTCGGCACCTTCAGGAGAGGGCCCTGGTGCCTGTTCCTCCCATCCCTGCCACGCTGACTGGAATGCCAGTCCCTGGCCTGGAGATGGGGAATTGCCACCGTCACCACCCCAGGGCTGCCCTTTGCCAGGGACACGCGGGGAGAAAAGTGCAAACAGGAATTGTCTCTGTCCCAGAGCAGGGCTGCTCCTGCTGTGCCAGGGAGAGCTAGCCCTGAAATCCTGCTCCTGCTGTGCCAGGGAGAGCTGGCTTTGAAATCCTGCTCTGTGCTGCTCCTGCTGTGCCATAGGAAACTGGCTCTGAAATCCTGCTCTGTGCTGGGCCAGTGCTGCTCCTGCTGCTCCTGGGAAAGCTGGCTCTGAAATCCTGCTCTGTGCTGGTGCCACTCCTGCTGTGCCATAGGAAACTGGCTGTGGCACCCTGCTCCATGCTGCTCTGTGCCAGGCTTTGTGCCAGTTCTGCTCCTGTTGCTCCTGCCAGGGAAATCTGTCCCTGGCACCCTGCTCTGTGCCAGTGCTGCTCCTGCTGTGCCATGGACAGCTGCCTCTGAAATCCTGCTGTGTGCTGTGCTGCTCCTGCTCCACCAGAGGAGTCCAGCTCTGACATCCTGTGCTGTGCCAGTGCTCTGTGCCGCTGCTGCTGTGCCAGGGAAATCTGCCCCTGGCACCCTGCTCTGTGCTGGTGCTGCTGCTGCTGCTCCCTCTGTGCTGGGGGAATCAGCTCTGGTGCTGTCCTGGTGATCTGCACCATGCTGCTGCTGGTGCCAGTGCCCTGCGCTGGTGCTGCTCCTGCTGTGCCAGAGAAAACCTCTCTGGCATCCTGCTCTGTGCCAGTGCTGCTCCTGCTGTGCAGGAGAAACTGCCTCTGGCATTCTGCTGGTGTTCTGTGCTGTGCTGGTGCTGCTGTGCCAGGGAAAACTGCCTCTGGCACTCTGCTCTGTGCTGTGCTGGTGCTGCTCCTGCTGTGCAGGGAAAACTGGCTCTGAAATCCTGCTCTGCACTGCTCTGTGCTGGTGCTGCTGCTGCTGCTGTGGGAATGCAGCTCTGGAATCCTGCTCTGTGCTGAGCTGGTGCTGCTCCTCGCTGGTGCTGCTCCTGCTGTGCAGGGAAAACTGGCTCTGAAATCCTGCTCTGCACTGCTCTGTGCTGGTGCTGCTCCTGCTGCTGTGGGAATGCAGCTCTGGAATCCTGCTCTGTGCTGAGCTGGTGCTGCTCCCTGTGCCATGGGAAGCTGCCCCTGGCACCGTGCTCTGTGCTGGTGTTCTGTGCTGGTGCTGCTCCCCCTGTGCCATGGGATGCTGCCCCTGGCACCGTGCTCTGTGCTGGTGTTCTGAGCTGGTGCTGCTCCCCCTGTGCCATGGGAAGCTGCCCCTGGCCTCCTGCTCCTCTCCCTGCTGGTGTTCCACTCCCTGCAGGAGCTCCGTGTGCCTGCCCTGCGCTGCTCCTGCTGCAGCTGCATCCCCCCGGGATTCCGTCCACGCTCAGCCAGCTCAGGCTGCATTCCCAGCAGTGCTGCATCCCCAGCAGTGCTGAATCCCCAGCCCTGCTGCATCCCCAGCACTGCTCCATCCCCAGCCCTGCTCCATCCCCAGCAGTGCTGCATCCCCAGCAGTGCTGCATTCCCAGCCCTGCTCCATCCCCAGCCCTGCTCCATCCCCAGCCCTGCTCCATCCCCAGCCCTGCTCCATCCCCAGCCCTGCTCCATCCCCAGCCCTGCTCCATCCCCAGCCCTGCTCCATCCCCAGCCCTGCTCCATCCCCAGCCCTGCTCCATCCCCAGCCCTGCTCCATCCCCAGCAGTGCTGCATCCCCAGCCCTGCTCTGTGCTGGGCCAGTGCTGCTCCTGCTGCTCCTGGGAAAGCTGGCTCTGAAATCCTGCTCTGTGCTGGTGCTGCTCCTGCTGTGCCATAGGAAACTGGCTCTGAAATCCTGCTCTGTGCTGGGCCAGTGCTGCTCCTGCTGCTCCTGGGAAAGCTGGCTCTGAAATCCTGCTCTGTGCTGGTGCTGCTCCTGCTGTGCCATAGGAAACTGGCTCTGAAATCCTGCTCTGTGCTGGGCCAGTGCTGCTCCTGCTGCTCCTGGGAAAGCTGGCTCTGAAATCCTGCTCTGTGCTGGTGCTGCTCCTGCTGTGCCATAGGAAACTGGCTCTGAAATCCTGCTCTGTGCTGGGCCAGTGCTGCTCCTGCTGCTCCTGGGAAAGCTGGCTCTGAAATCCTGCTCTGTGCTGGTGCTGCTCCTGCTGTGCCATAGGAAACTGGCTCTGAAATCCTGCTCTGTGCTGGGCCAGTGCTGCTCCTGCTGCTCCTGGGAAAGCTGGCTCTGAAATCCTGCTCTGTGCTGGTGCTGCTCCTGCTGTGCCATAGGAAACTGGCTCTGAAATCCTGCTCTGTGCTGGGCCAGTGCTGCTCCTGCTGCTCCTGGGAAAGCTGGCTCTGAAATCCTGCTCTGTGCTGGTGCTGCTCCTGCTGTGCCATAGGAAACTGGCTCTGAAATCCTGCTCTGTGCTGGGCCAGTGCTGCTCCTGCTGCTCCTGGGAAAGCTGGCTCTGAAATCCTGCTCTGTGCTGGGCCAGTGCTGCTCCTGCTGCTCCTGGGAAAGCTGGCTCTGAAATCCTGCTCTGTGCTGGTGCCACTCCTGCTGTGCCATAGGAAACTGGCTGTGGCACCCTGCTCCATGCTGCTCTGTGCCAGGCTTTGTGCCAGTTCTGCTCCTGTTGCTCCTGCCAGGGAAATCTGTCCCTGGCACCCTGCTCTGTGCCAGTGCTGCTCCTGCTGTGCCAGGGAAAGCTGCCTCTGAAATCCTGCTGTGTGCTGTGCTGCTCCTGCTCCACCAGAGGAGTCCAGCTCTGACATCCTGTGCTGTGCCAGTGCTCTGTGCCGGTGCTGCTGTGCCAGGGAAATCTGCCCCTGGCACCCTGCTCTGTGCTGGTGCTGCTGCTGCTGCTCCCTCTGTGCTGGGGGAATCAGCTCTGGTGCTGTCCTGGTGATCTGCACCATGCTGCTGCTGGTGCCAGTGCCCTGCGCTGGTGCTGCTCCTGCTGTGCCAGAGAAAACCTCTCTGGCATCCTGCTCTGTGCCAGTGCTGCTCCTGCTGTGCCAGGGACAGCCTCTCTGGCATCCTGCTCTGTGCCAGTGCTGCTCCTGCTGTGCCAGGGAAAACCTCTCTGGCATCCTGCTCTGTGCCAGTGCTGCTCCTGCTGTGCCATGGACAGCCTCTCTGGCATCCTGCTCTGTGCCAGTGCTGCTCCTGCTGTGCCAGGGACAGCCTCTGGCACCCTGCGCTGTGCCACAGCGGCTCCTGCCTGGCATCCTGCTCTGTGCCAGTGCTGCTCCTGCTGTGCCATGGACAGCCTCTCTGGCATCCTGCTCTGTGCCAGTGCTGCTCCTGCTGTGCCAGGGAAAGCCTCTCTGGCATCCTGCTCTGTGCCAGTGCTGCTCCTGCTGTGCCAGGGAAAACCTCTCTGGCATCCTGCTCTGTGCCAGTGCTGCTCCTGCTGTGCCAGGGAAAACCTCTCTGGCATCCTGCTCTGTGCCAGTGCTGCTCCTGCTGTGCCTGAAATCCTGCTCTGCACTGCTCTGTGCTGGTGCTGCTCCTGCTGCTGTGGGAATGCAGCTCTGGAATCCTGCTCTGTGCTGAGCTGGTGCTGCTCCTGCTGCTCCCCCTGTGCCATGGGAAGCTGCCCCTGGCACCGTGCTCTGTGCTGGTGTTCTGTGCTGGTGCTGCTCCCCCTGTGCCATGGGAAGCTGCCCCTGGCACCGTGCTCTGTGCTGGTGTTCTGTGCTGGTGCTGCTCCCCCTGTGCCATGGGAAGCTGCCCCTGGCACCGTGCTCTGTGCTGGTGTTCTGTGCTGGTGCTGCTCCCCCTGTGCCATGGGAAGCTGCCCCTGGCACCGTGCTCTGTGCTGGTGTTCTGAGCTGGTGCTGCTCCCCCTGTGCCATGGGAAGCTGCCCCTGGCCTCCTGCTCCTCTCCCTGCTGGTGTTCCACTCCCTGCAGGAGCTCCGTGTGCCTGCCCTGCGCTGCTCCTGCTGCAGCTGCATCCCCCCGGGATTCCGTCCACGCTCAGCCAGCTCAGGCTGCATTCCCAGCAGTGCTGCATCCCCAGCAGTGCTGAATCCCCAGCCCTGCTGCATCCCCAGCACTGCTCCATCCCCAGCCCTGCTCCATTCCCAGCCCTGCTGCATTCCCAGCCGTGCTGCATCCCCAGCTCTGCTCCACCCCAGCAGTGCTCCATTCCCAGCCCTGCTGCATTCCCAGCCGTGCTGCATCCCCAGCTCTGCTCCACCCCAGCAGTGCTCCATTCCCAGCCCTGCTGCATTCCCAGCCGTGCTGCATCCCCAGCTCTGCTCCACCCCAGCAGTGCTCCATTCCCAGCCCTGCTGCATTCCCAGCAGTGCTGCATTCCCAGCCCTGCTCCATCCCCAGCCCTGCTCCATCCCCAGCAGTGCTGCATCCCCAGCCTGCTCTGTGCCAGTGCTGCTCCTGCTGTGCCAGGGAAAGCCTCTCTGGCATCCTGCTCTGTGCCAGTGCTGCTCCTGCTGTGCCAGGGAAAACCTCTCTGGCATCCTGCTCTGTGCCAGTGCTGCTCCTGCTGTGCAGGAGAAACTGCCTCTGGCATTCTGCTGGTGTTCTGTGCTGTGCTGGTGCTGCTGTGCCAGGGAAAACTGCCTCTGGCACTCTGCTCTGTGCTGCGCTGGTGCTGCTCCTGCTGTGCAGGGAAAACTGGCTCTGAAATCCTGCTCTGCACTGCTCTGTGCTGGTGCTGCTGCTGCTGCTGTGGGAATGCAGCTCTGGAATCCTGCTCTGTGCTGAGCTGGTGCTGCTCCCTGTGCCATGGGAAGCTGCCCCTGGCACCGTGCTCTGTGCTGGTGTTCTGTGCTGGTGCTGCTCCCCCTGTGCCATGGGATGCTGCCCCTGGCACCGTGCTCTGTGCTGGTGTTCTGTGCTGGTGCTGCTCCCCCTGTGCCATGGGATGCTGCCCCTGGCACCGTGCTCTGTGCTGGTGTTCTGAGCTGGTGCTGCTCCCCCTGTGCCATGGGAAGCTGCCCCTGGCCTCCTGCTCCTCTCCCTGCTGGTGTTCCACTCCCTGCAGGAGCTCCGTGTGCCTGCCCTGCGCTGCTCCTGCTGCAGCTGCATCCCCCCGGGATTCCGTCCACGCTCAGCCAGCTCAGGCTGCATTCCCAGCAGTGCTGCATCCCCAGCAGTGCTGCATCCCCAGCAGTGCTGCATCCCCAGCAGTGCTGCATCCCCAGCAGTGCTGCATCCCCAGCAGTGCTGCATCCCCAGCAGTGCTGCATCCCCAGCAGTGCTGCATCCCCAGCAGTGCTGCATCCCCAGCAGTGCTGCATCCCCAGCAGTGCTGCATCCCCAGCAGTGCTGCATCCCCAGCAGTGCTGCATCCCCAGCAGTGCTGCATCCCCAGCAGTGCTGCATCCCCAGCAGTGCTGAATCCCCAGCCCTGCTGCATTCCCAGCCGTGCTGCATCCCCAGCTCTGCTCCACCCCAGCAGTGCTCCATTCCCAGCCCTGCTGCATTCCCAGCCGTGCTGCATCCCCAGCTCTGCTCCACCCCAGCAGTGCTCCATTCCCAGCCCTGCTGCATTCCCAGCGCTGCTGCATCCCCAGCCCTGCTGTATCCCCAGCAGTGCTGCATCCCCAGCAGTGCTGCATTCCTGGCTCAGGCTGCATTCCCAGCCCTGCTGCATCCCCAGCCCTGCTCCATCCCCAGCAGTGCTGCATCCCCAGCCCTGCTCCATCCCCAGCACTGCTCCATCCCCAGCCCTGCTCCATTCCCCGCCCTGCTCCATCCCCAGCAGTGCTGCATTCCTGGCTCAGGCTGCATTCCCAGCCCTGCTCCATCCCCAGCCCTGCTCCATCCCCAGCCGTGCCAATGTTCCACCTGACAAATCAATAAAGCCCATTCCCACTGAGGGCTCTGCTCCAGCCTGCTCGTGATTCCTGACTCCCAGGAAGCCAGGGGAGGGATGCAGGGTCACCTCAGAGCTGCCCATTCCCATTCCCACTGAGGGCTCTGTGCCCGTGATCCCTGACTCCCGGGAAGCCAAAGGGAGGGGTTTCCTCAGCCCCTGGATATTCCAGAGGGGGATGGATCCCTGAGCACCTAGATATTCCAGAGGGGGATGGATCCCTCAGCCCCTGGATATTCCAGAGGGGGATGGATCCCTCAGCCCCTGGATATTCCAGAGGGGGATGGATCCCTCAGCCCCTGGATATTCCAGAGGGGGATGGATCCCTCAGCCCCTGGATATTCCAGAGGGGGATGGATCCCTCAGTCCCTGGATATTCCAGAGGGGGATGGATCCCTCAGTCCCTGGATATTCCAGAGGGGGATGGATCCCTCAGTCCCTGGATATTCCAGAGGGGGATGGATCCCTCAGTCCCTGGATATTCCAGAGGGGGATGGATCCCTCAGTCCCTGGATATTCCAGAGGGGGATGGATCCCTCAGTCCCTGGATATTCCAGAGGGGGATGGATCCCTCAGTCCCTGGATATTCCAGAGGGGGATGGATCCCTCAGTCCCTGGATATTCCAGAGGGGGATGGATCCCTCAGTCCCTGGATATTCCAGAGGGGGATGGATCCCTCAGTCCCTGGATATTCCAGAGGGGGATGGATCCCTCAGTGCCCTGGATATTCCAGAGGGGGATGGATCCCTCAGTCCCTGGATATTCCAGAGGGGGATGGATCCCCCAGTCCTCTGGGTGGGGAGGCACGGGGGTCCCAGTTCTGGGTTTCTCTGGGTCTGCACTGAAGGCTGTTATAAAATCCTCCTCCAGCCAGGTCTCACAAGCTCTCAGAGGTCTGTATCACACCCCAGATAGCTCAGCTACCCCTGGAGCCATAAAAATCAGCAGGATGGCTTCTGCTGCCACGTTGGAAACAAAAAGGTTTCATAAAAGGCAAAATAACAAACGGGAAAACCGAGCCAGGGGCAAGAGGTTCTTGCTCCTGGTAAAACACCTCACAAAAGCAATTAGTTTCTTTGTTCTCTTCCTTTTTTCTAGTAAAAAAGGTGGGACTTTTTGGCTCCTGTCCAATTGGCTATCCTTGCGTTTGAGGTGAAGTCCCCTAGGCCTACGAGGTGGCTTTTCACCTCATCAAGGAGAGAAACTTCTGGGCTTCTTTGCTTTTTAGGGGGACAAAGGACAGCTTTGTCACTCTGTCAACAGAGGGCACATTCCTACAGAAGGCACTGGAGACACAAATTCATTTTCAGCCTCAGGTTTTTATTATTTCTCATCAGTAAAACAGTCTCATAACTGTGAGTTTTCATCAGAAAGGCAGAAAATGGCCAACAATCCCTTGTTACAAGGTCTTTTAAAACTAAACTACCCAGTTAAGAGCTGACACCCAGGTGTGGGTTTCTCTGGGTGTGGGCTGAAGGCACTGGAGACACAAATTCCTGTTCAGACTCAGGTGTTTATTACTTTTTATCAGTGAAAGTCTCACAAATGTGAGTCCAGCAGCAAGGCACACAATGGCCAACAATCCCTTGCTGCAAGGTCTTCTAAGACAAAATTTTAAATTTTTAAATTTTAATTTTTAAGACTAAATCCAGTTAAGAGCTGACACCTGTGGGGTCCCAGTTCTGGGTTTCTCTGGGTGTGGGCTGAAGGCACTGGAGACACAAATTCATTTTCAGCCTCAGGTGTCACTCCAGGACACAAAACAACACGCTGTGGACACGCTGCTTTCCAAGGCAAGAAAAAAAGGCTTTTTTATTTCTGACCCCAGCATTTACAGATTTCCAAAAGTGACAGAGGATGGAGGGTGGCAGTGCCACCTCTGCAGTGACACCGGGCAAACCAACAGCCCTTCAGGTGTCTCCTCCTCCTAAAAAACCCTATAATATAGATTTTACAGCCTAAAAACCGCGTTTGCCACACTGCTTAAAGAGATTAACGCAGCACTACTTAAGAGATTAACGCAGCACTAATTAAGAGATTAACGCAGCACAACTTTCCAACACAACACCTACAGAATTCATTTGAACGTTTGCCAAGAGCCAATCGCATTGTGAACAGCGCCAGTCGCTTGTTTTTTAGAATTTTAGAAGTTTAATTGTAATAAAATGGTTGTAACAGCAGTAGTATGATTAGAGTAATAAAAATTCGGACAATTGGGATTAGGACAATGCGAGACAATAAGAACAAAGAGTTGGGACAGTCCGGGGACCTTTTCTGGGCAACACAAGCCCGAAAAGGACACACATTAACAGAGGATTAACCCTTAAAAACAACAGCCTGTTGCATATTCATACACCTCATACATTATGCATAAATTACATTCAAACACAGGACTTTGGTAATCGTCAGCTTCTCTGAATCCTAACGCCGCCTTTTTGACTGAACCAGGCGGGGAGAAGTTCGTTTCCCCTGATGAAAGAGCAATAAATTCTCTTTCTCTGGAAGATTCAGGTGTCCCTCATTCCTTTTTAGAAAGAAAACATCCCACATACGCAGCTCCTACTTGAACTACAAAAGTTATTTTTTAACTACGGAACCGCAGTTACCATACTGCTGAAATGCTAACGCAGCACAACTTTCTAACGTAACACATGCAATATTCATTTTCATATTTGCGAAAAGCCAGCCATAAAACACGCATTTTTCACTCCGAGGCACCGGGAGCTGCCGGCCCAGCCCCAGCCCCAGCCCCAGCGGCGCTGAGGGCCGCAGCAGCCGCGCTGGAGCCCTTTTCCCCCGGGATCACGCCAAATTTCACATCTCACCTCTCCGGCACCGGCGGCGCCTGGGCGGCGCCATCTTGGCAACCGCTGGGCGTCACGTGACGCCCTCCCGAGCTCTCGCGATAGTTCTTCTCGCGAGGACCTGCCTCCCCTGAGCCCCCTGTTTCCCGCGCGCGCCGCGGAGCTCTCGCGAGAGCCGCGTGCTGTGGACGGGGAGGACAAGATGGCGGCGACAACGACGATGGCGCTGGTGAGGGGGCGAGGGGCGGCGGGGCCGGGCCGGGCCGGCGCCAAGGGGGTGGGATACAGCGCGGCCGCCGAGCGGATCCGCCCGGGCCGGGCCCTCTCCGCGCCCCCGGGGTGCGGTGGCGGCTCTGGGGGGACGGCGCCGCTTCCCGCCGGGTCTCTTCCGCCTGTGGGCTCCGGTCGCGGCCTTCTCCGTGTGGGGAAGGTGTCGGTGCTCCCCCGCGCCGTCCTGAGCTCCCGCCCCGCCGTGGCTGTCCAGGCCCTGCGGGGAGCGGGCTCGGCCGTCCCGCTGTGGGCACGGCCAGGCCGCTGCTCCTGGGCTGCTGCTCCCGAATCCGGAGCTTTAAACGCTTCTTTTTGGGGTGCTGCTCCCGAATCCAGGCTTTAAACGCTTCTTTTTGGGCTGCTGCTCCCGAATCCAGGCTTTAAACACTTCTTTTTGGGGTGCTGCTCTCGAAACCAGGCTTTAAACACTTCTTTTTGTGCTCCTGCTCCTGAATCCAGGCTTTAAACACTTCTTTTTGTGCTCCATGTTCCCCAATTCTCCTGTTTAAACGGTGCTTTTGGGCTCCTTCTTCCCAATTTCTCCTGTTTAAGTGCTGTTTTTGGGCTCCCGTTCCCAAATTCTCCAGTTTAAGTACTCGGTGTTGTGTTAGGTTTCCCAAGCCCAGTGCTTTAAACGCTTCTCTTTGGGCTCCCGTTCCCAAATTCTCCTGTTTAAGTACTCGGTGTTGTGTTAGGTTTCCCAAACCCAGTGCTTTAAACTCTTCTCTTTGGGCTCCCGTTCCCAAATTCTCCTGTTTAAACGCTTCTTTTTGGGCTCCTGTTCCCAAATTCTCCTGTTTAAATGCTCCGTGTGGAGCTGGCTTTCCCAAATCTGCCTGTTTAAGTGCTGCCCTTGGGCTCCCGTTCCCAAGCCCTCCTGGACTGTGTTTTGTGGGATTCTTTGTGGGCTCTGGGATGTTTTAGCCCTGTGCTGGGTGTGGGAGAGCAGGAATTCCGGAATTCCGGGGTGGGGGGGGGGGGGGGGGGTGAAGAAGTTTCTTCTGATAAAGGGGCAATAAATTATTTTTCTCTAAAGGTTCAGGTGTCCTGTGGCTGCTGTCTCAGTGGGAGTTCCTCATTCCTTTCTTAGAAAAAAATCCCACATACATAGCTTCTATTTTAGCATTATGTTAGAACCTAAAACTGTGTTTAACACACTACTTGAGAAAATTAATACAGCATAACTTTCTAACATAACACATACAATATTCATTTTAATATTTGCAAAAAGCCAATCATAAAACACGTGTGTTTCACACTGGGTTTGTTTCCTGTTGTCCCCATCATTGTTGTCATGGCAAATACAGGATTGCTCTGAGGAATGGCTCTGGTTCCAGAGCAGCTCAGCCTGCTGCTGATCCCAGGAGGAGCTGTGTGTCCTGGAATTCCTTTTGTGAGTTCACAGGCCTTGGGAGGAGATAGGGACAACTCTCACTTTGTTTCCTGCCTCAGCTTTCCTTGATCCATTGGCCTGGGGTGTTTCCCAGGAGGGGGCACGTCTGGCTTTGCGAGGTCACCTGGGATTCCACGGGGGATGGCAAGGAAACACCTGGCCTCAGAATTCCCATTTATCCTGGGCACACACCTGCAGGGGGTCCCAGGTGTGGGGGTCCCAGCTGTGAATCCCTGTGCACACACCTGCCAGGGATCCCAGCTGTGAATCCCTGTGCACACCTGCAGGGGATTCCAGGTGTGAATCCCTGTGCACACCTGCAGGGGATCCCAGGTGTGGGGAATCCCAGGTGTGGGGAATCCCTGTGCACACCTGCAGGGGATCCCAGGTGTGGGGAATCCCTGTGCACACACCTGCAGGGGGTCCCAGCTGTGAATCCCTGTGCACACACCTGCAGGGGATCCCAGGTGTGAATCCCTGTGGGGAATCCCTGTGCACACCTGCCAGGGATCCCAGGTGTGGGGAATCCCAGGTGTGGGGAATCCCTGTGCACACCTGCCAGGGATCCCAGGTGTGGGGAATCCCAGGTGTGGGGAATCCCTGTGCACACACCTGCCAGGGATCCCAGCTGTGAATCCCTGTGCACACCTGCAGGGGATTCCAGGTGTGAATCCCTGTGCACACCTGCAGGGGATCCCAGGTGTGGGGAATCCCAGGTGTGGGGAATCCCTGTGCACACCTGCAGGGGATCCCAGGTGTGGGGAATCCCTGTGCACACACCTGCAGGGGATCCCAGGTGTGAATCCCTGTGGGGAATCCCTGTGCACACCTGCCAGGGATCCCAGGTGTGGGGAATCCCTGTGCACACCTGCCAGGGATCCCAGGTGTGGGGGATCCCAGGTGTGGGGAATCCCTGTGCACACCTGCCAGGGATCCCAGGTGTGGGGGATCCCAGGTGTGGGGAATCCCTGTGCACACCTGCCAGGGATCCCAGGTGTGGGGGATCCCAGGTGTGGGGAATCCCTGTGCACACCTGCCAGGGATCCCAGGTGTGGGGGATCCCAGGTGTGGGGAATCCCTGTGCACACCTGCCAGGGATCCCAGGTGTGGGGGATCCCAGGTGTGGGGAATCCCTGTGCACACCTGCCAGGGATCCCAGGTGTGGGGGATCCCAGGTGTGGGGAATCCCTGTGCACACCTGCCAGGGATCCCAGGTGTGGGGAATCCCTGTGCACACCTGCAGGGGATCCCAGGTGTGGGGATCCCAGGTGTGAATCCCAGCTGTGAATCCTTGTGCACACACCTGCAGGGGATCCCAGGTGTGGGGAATCCCAGGTGTGGGGAATCCCTGTGCACACCTGCCAGGGGGATCCCTGTGCACCCCCTCACAGCTGACAGGACAGGAGGCAATGACCTCGGGCTGTGCCCGGGGAGGCTCAGGCTGGACACCAGGAGGAATTCCTCCGAGGAAAGGGTGCTCAGGCCTTGGCAGGGCTGCCCAGGGGGGTCTGGAGTGCCCGTGCCTGCAGGTGGCACTCAGGGGACAGGCTGGGGACAGCTCACAGGTTGGTTGATGGTCTGGAGGTGTTTTCCAGCCTCAGGGATTCCGTGGTGCCAGCAGCAGTGGGAATCACACGAGGCAGGTCAGGTGTGTGCACAGGGTTGCCTTTCAGATGCAGAAATCAGCTCTGGTGTGCCTGGGGTCTGAGCAGCTGCTGCTGGGGGGGACCTGTGAGCATCCATTCCACATTTCCAGGGAGTGCAGGTTCCTGATGGCCCCTTGGTGTGCTGTGGGACAGGAGGGCCAGGGGATGTGTGTGGGATTCTCAGGGAACCCGGGATGGCTCCTTGGTGTGCTGTGGGACAGGAGGGCCAGGGGATGTGTGTGGGATTCTCAGGGAACCCGGGATGGCTCCTTGGTGTGCTGTGGGACAGGAGGGCCAGGGGATGTGTGTGGGATTCTCAGGGAACCCGGGATGGCTCCTTGGTGTGCTGTGGGACAGGAGGGCCAGGGGATGTGTGTGGGATTCTCAGGGAACCCGGGATGGCTCCTTGGTGTGCTGTGGGACAGGAGGGCCAGGGGATGTGTGTGGGATTCTCAGGGAACCCGGGATGGCTCCTTGGTGTGCTGTGGGACAGGAGGGCCAGGGGATGTGTGTGGGATTCTCAGGGAACCCGGGATGGCTCCTTGGTGTGCTGTGGGACAGGAGGGCCAGGGGATGTGTGTGGGATTCTCAGGGAACCCGGGATGGCTCCTTGGTGTGCTGTGGGACAGGAGGGCCAGGGGATGTGTGTGGGATTCTCAGGGAACCCGGGATGGCTCCTTGGTGTGCTGTGGGACAGGAGGGCCAGGGGATGTGTGTGGGATTCTCAGGGAACCCGGGATGGCTCCTTGGTGTGCTGTGGGACAGGAGGGCCAGGGGATGTGTGTGGGATTCTCAGGGAACCCGGGATGGCTCCTTGGTGTGCTGTGGGACAGGAGGGCCAGGGGATGTGTGTGGGATTCTCAGGGAACCCGGGATGGCTCCTTGGTGTGCTGTGGGACAGGAGGGCCAGGGGATGTGTGTGGGATTCTCAGGGAACCCGGGATGGCTCCTTGGTGTGCTGTGGGACAGGAGGGCCAGGGGATGTGTGTGGGATTCTCAGGGAACCCGGGATGGCTCCTTGGTGTGCTGTGGGACAGGAGGGCCAGGGGATGTGTGTGGGATTCTCAGGGAACCCGGGATGGCTCCTTGGTGTGCTGTGGGACAGGAGGGCCAGGGGATGTGTGTGGGATTCTCAGGGAACCCGGGATGGCTCCTTGGTGTGCTGTGGGACAGGAGGGCCAGGGGATGTGTGTGGGATTCTCAGGGAACCCGGGATGGCCCCTTGGTGTCAGTGCTGGCCCTGGGATCAGCTGCTGGGGCCGATCCAGGCTGATTCCTTGCTGAAGGAATCTCAGCAGTCTGTGATGTTGTGTGGCACCGTGTCGGGGCTGTGACTGTGCTCCCAGTTCAGTGTTCCCCTCATTTCTTGGGCTGGGCCCTTCCCACATCCCGTGGGTGTTCTCCTGTGCTCTCTCCTGGTTCCTGGCAGTCTTTGGGCTCTCTGCATCCCTGGGAATGGGCACAATGTTCCAGGCAGCTCACCAGTGCCAGCTGGGACAGTACAACCTCTGTGGGGGCATTTTGGAGCGCTCCCTGTCACCATCAGCCCTCACATCAGCTCCTGTGCCAGGGCCTGCGTTCCTTCTGCATTCCTGAATCCCAGCTGGGTGGGGGGGTGCCCCCGCCCTGCTGTGTCACCCACAGCTCCTCGGCTGAGCTGTGCAGTTTGGCAAAAGCCATTTGTGAGCCTGAAAGGGTCAGTCCTGCAATCATGGAAGCAAAGCCTGCTCTGGAGTGGGAGCAGTCTGAAATCCCACCCAGTTCCACGCCCTGGGAGCGCTCGAGGCCAGGTTGGATGGAGGGAAGGTGTCCCTGCCCATGGAGGAGCTCTCAGCCCCTTCCCACCCAAAGCATTCCATGGTTCTGGATGGAACCAGAGCCACGGTCACTGGCTGAGCCTGCAGCTGTGGGACCCGTTTG